TGGAAGCACACAGGAAGGTCTTCGCAACTCACTCATCTGTTGGACTTCTAGCCAGGAGAAGGAGACTGGGTAGAAACTTCCAATCAAGGCGTGTTATGGAAAACCTGTCTGCGCAGGCAAGACTTAAACCAACTGCAAAACCCCAACGCCTGCTGCTTTAACGAGGAAGAACCCAAAATGCAAAAGGTGAGCGAAGGCCCATGTATAGTCCAGTCATGGGCCCAGAACGCTGCACGTTTCTTGCAGGTGTTCAGCTAGGAGGCCGTTGTCGATGCTGAGGAGCCAGTTGCGCAGGTCCATGGATCTCCAGGCTTCTGGGTCTTCGGTCTCCTCCTGCCGGCTGACACAAGCAGCAAAGAAGAGAAGTGGAACTGTTTCCCAGAATGATCGTGCCACAAAAAGTGACAGGCACATTAGGCCCACGAGGCGCCTGGGTCTTCAGACTCGTTCCAGATCTGCTTGCGGTCGAAGTGGTGGTCGATGCTTGCGCTCCAGAGCTGCCCTGAACATCTTAGAGAACAGCTTCAGGAACAAAAGGAAATTAACCAAGCACACAGACAAATACAAACAAAAAAATCAAGGCTCTGGCTCATCTCCCATCTGCGGGTGTTTGGTGCTTTCTTTGCTTGCGAAATCGTCCTTGGAAGTTGTCTTGTGGTTCGTGAGCCTGGTTTCGCGATTGCGGTCGCAGGTTCGATGCCCGCAGACTCGGCAGCTCAGGCTCAAAAATCGTAATTTTTAAGTACCAAAAAACTGGCACGCGAAGAGCAATCCCGCAGCTCCGGCTAAAAAATCGAAGCCGCACGCCCGCATCTCCAGCTCGCAAATCGCAACCTTGATTTGCAGTGCAAAAAACAGCACGCGAATTACACGTCCACATCTCCAACTCGAACATTGCAACTTGTAAGCTAACGTAGTGGGCAAAGCCACTTTGGCAAGTAAAACCGCCAGCCTTCTTGCGCTGCCAAACTTCACGCGGAGTCCCCCAATTGGCTGCGTACAAGAGCAGCAGACACCCCTTTCCACCTCTTTGACTGGGCAGATGCCGTGGACAATGCACTTCGTCCCAGAACATTCGGCTGTGGAGGGCTGAGATTGGCTTAGCAAACCAAGGCAGCCCGCCTAACATCACCATCCTCACAGAAATTGCACAGAAATTGCAGCACCATGCGCAAGAGGGAGCATCACGTGCGGCATCATGGGCGGCATCATGCACGGCGTCATGCGCAGCATCATGCACAGCACCCCCATGAGCGACGAACGAGCAACATCACGCGCGGCATCAGCTCATAGCATCGCGCGCACGAGAAGTTGGGAGGAGCGGTTGCGAAGCACGATGCAGAACTTGCAGATGGATAGCAACGCGTGTATGTTTTGTTGTTCATCAGGTCGGGGAGGTCCGAGCCACCGAGCGCCGAGCTGTAGCCCAGCCCAGCTCACCAGCTTCCCACCGCCTTGAGATTGGCTGGCTGAAGCTGGCGCGGCTGAAGCTTGGGAACTGGGCTGCGCTGCAAACGTTTGCTCTGAGGCTTTGGGGCCCGCAAGCAGCCGCGCCCAAAAGCCCCAAGCCCCAGCTCTCACCGCAGCAATGAAGCTGAGCCGTGCATGACCGTTTGTAGCCCAGCATCTGAGCTGCCGGCCCCTCCCCCCCGACTAGCTCCGGCCCCTGCCGCTCGAGTTCAAGTTCACGGCAATCACTTTGCGCTGCAGCACAGCTAAGCCGAGCCGGCAGGCCCAGAATTTACATCAACAAATGCTAAATTGTGGGATCCGATTGTGCGGAACCAAGAAAGGCGCCAGACACGCTCGGCTTCGATTTTGGGAAGCCCCGAACGTCCTGGCGTCTGTGCCAGATTTGCCTAAGACACAATGTAGACAACATGCGCAGCGCCAAACCATCTGGTTCTGGGGCAAAACATTGGCTTATATGTAGGATTTGCACCTTCGTGCCAACATCCCCCCCCTATGCGCCACTGCGACTGCTCCAGTGATGGGAGGAAGGGTGGCCAATCTCTGAGCCTGTATAGGTGATTCTGCAACTGTGATCAAAAACCTGAGTTCCTTGGTGGCCAGGCTACCAAGTGGATTCCAAGATCCCTCAGGCATTTCAAAGGAGCCTCTCCAAACTTCGCCATTCAAGGCCCACATGCAGCCAAAGGCTCCGCCTCCGCCTGCGGTGAAAGGCGCTTCTGTTGATACGCGGCCTTCGCCTTGGCCTGGCCAAGTCAACATGGGTTTGGTGTCCAGCACATCGCGTAATAACAAGTGACAAGGAAACCCGCTCTGCAGGGAAACAAGTGCGTTACGCCCCTCTTGCCTGCAAACAATGTGTTGGATCCGGTGAGATGGCAGCGGTGCCCGGGTGCTTTCAAACGTGCGTTTTGACGATTGGAAAAAGATGTGGGTGTGCTTTTGGGTACCCCTTCTTGGGACAAATTTCTGAGCATCATGGGGATCTATTTCCTCCAACCACTTTTCAGGGGTCCCAAAAACGAGAAGAAAACCAGGCCATGTGGGTCACCCCCTTCGAACCCGTCTCTGCGCCAAGCGCTTTTGCCCCCGAGATCGTACGAATTGGGCGCCCCGAAGCGATAACGTTCGGGGTTCCATGACGGTCAAAAGGGTAAGCAGGCCTGCACAAAAGGATTTGTTTTGGGCAAGCCCCACGATGCAAGCACTCCTGCCTGCGGAAGGCTCTTTTGCGGCTGCAATGCTGCCTTCACCTTGCATGCACTTCACGGGCATCAGAATCTGAAGGAACCATCCGGCACTTCTGGGGTTGGCCAGCAAGACGTGCGAATGATTGATGTGCGTTTTCTTTCCCGCTCTCTCCCTCTCGCCCTCGCCCCCGCCCCTCTGGATCATGATGCAACCGTGCCTACCTGCCTGCCCACATGGTGTGATTGCAATAGTGGCTGAACTACGGGTTCAGGGTTCACATATTGTGGCGTGTGGCTGTTGTCAGTGTTTTTGACTGCGCCTTGTCGTGTCAGAGAGGCTGCTTTGTCGTGTTCTTTGTCTTGCTCTGCCTCGTTCCGCCTTGTGTTGTCTTGTTCTGCTTTGCGCTGGTCAGCCATATCCTCTTGTGTCCTGTGTCTTCTTCTGTCGTCGTCACAGTTGCTTTATCACAATTAGGTGTGGAACAATCACTGTTGTTGCTACTGCTGCTTTAAGTGGGTGGGTTTGCCGTCGTGTGTGTGTGTGTGTCTGTGCCCATTGCGGTGATTGAGCGGTGATGGCTCCTGGGCAGCTTGGGTCCCCCGCAATTTTGCGAGACGCAAACCTCAGGAGACGGGGGAGACAGGGTGCGGGAATTGACCCCTGCCCTCGTAACACGAAATTGGCTTCCACGCTGTGTGCCTGCCCAACTAGAACAAGCCCACAGCCTACCTCCATCCGCCTCCCTTTTGTGCCCAGGCGCCGAAATCGCAGCATGGTCGTTGCGTTCTGATGGCCTCAGGTCGCAAACAAAGGCAACCGCCAACCTTGGGATTCCCTAAGGGCCTCAAATGAGCACGTTGGCAACCCTGCATCGGCTTCCAAAGGGTCGCATCAACCGGCCTTTTCTCCAAAAATGCAAAGTGCAATGGTCCTCCGAAAAGAGCCTACTAGAAAACAGGCTCCCTCCAAACAGCTGGGCGACCACCCTCAATCCCGCCCAATGCTAGGGCCTTGGCTGGCACCCCCTTCCCTTCTGGGCCCTGGGCTCGACGAATGGCAGCAGCCGCACCGATCCCCGAAGTAGCAGCGGTTGCACAGCGCGAAGAAGACGCATGGCACGCCTAAGCACAGATGGGCTGCTGTGCCGCCTTTCAACCCTGGTGGATGCCTTCGAGAGTGGCGAGTTGGACAATGGTTAAAGGAGCACCCAACAAAAACAAACAGCGCGAGTCGCCATCAACTCGATGCTCCCCCGCGTGGGGTGCCCGGCAGTTGCCTTGGCTGTGACTCCTGATGACGAGGGTCGGCCTCTCCCTGCCGCCAGCTTGGCAAGGCATACGCCAACCCGAGGCCGGAAACTCGCCCAACCAGAGTGGAGCTGTCGAAAATCAGAGGCCCCTTGCTGGGCATCCTGGTGCATGTTGTGCTGCCTTCAAACATTCTGGTGAAAGAGGGTGGCCCCAAAAGTGCAAGTGCTTGCCAACGACCCAATTGAAAGGCCCAGTCTCCCAGTCTGCGAAATGCGCAGCTGCTCGGGAAACCTCTTTGGGAGCCCTTGTGTCCGAAAGGGTCAATTCACAAAGGGATACACACACACACACAGACGCACAGACACAGAGACACAGAGACACACATAGACACACAGAGACACAGAGACACACAGAGACACAGACACAGAGACACAGACACACACACACACACAGAGACACACAGACACACAGAGACACACAGAGACACACATAGACACACAGAGACACACAGACACACAGAGACACAGACACAGACACACACACACACACACACACAGAGACACACAGAGACACACAGAGACACACAGAGACACACAGAGACACACAGAGACACACAGAGACACACAGAGACACACAGAGACACACAGAGACACACAGAGACACACAGAGACACACAGAGACACACAGAGACACACAGACACAGAGACACACAGAGACACACAGAGACACACAGAGACACACAGAGACACACAGAGACACACAGAGACACACAGAGACACACAGAGACACACAGAGACACACAGAGACACACAGAGACACACAGAGACACACAGAGACACACAGAGACACACATAGACACACACACAGAGACACACAGAGACACACAGAGACACACAGAGACACACAGAGACACACAGAGACACACAGAGACACACAGAGACACACAGAGACACACAGAGACACACAGAGACACACAGAGACACACAGAGACACACAAAGACACACAGAGACACACAAAGACACACAGAGACACACAGAGACACACAGACACACAGAGACACAGACACACAGACACAGAGACACACATAGACACACAGAGACACACAGACACACAGAGACACACAGACACACAGAGACACAGACACACACACACACACACAGACACGCATAGACACACATAGACACACAGAGACACACAGAGACACACAGAGACACACAGAGACACACAGAGACACACAGAGACACACAGAGACACACAGAGACACGCAGAGACACACAGAGACACACAGAGACACACAGAGACACACAGAGACACACAGAGACACAGAGACACACACACACAGACACACAGACACACAGACACACAGACACACAGACACACAGACACACAGAGACACAGACACACAGAGACACACACACAGAGACACACAGAGACACAGAGACACAGACACACACACACACACACAGAGACACAGACACAGAGACACACATAGACACAGCAGAGACACACAGGAGACACAGAGACACAGACACACACACACACACACACAGACACACAGAGACACACAGAGACAGACACAGAGACACACAGAGACACACAGAGACACACAGAGACACACAGAGACACACAGAGACACACAGAGACACAGAGACAAACAGAGACACAAACACGCACACACACACACAGACACACAGACACAGAGACACACATAGACACACAGAGACACACAGAGACACACAGAGACACACAGAGACACACAGAGACACACAGAGACACACAGAGACACACAGACACAGACACACACACACAGACACACAGACACAGAGACCCACATAGACACAGAGGCACACAGAGACACACAGACACACAGAGACACACAGACACACAGAGACACAGACACACACACACACACAGACACGCATAGACACACATAGACACACAGAGACACACAGAGACACACAGAGACACACAGAGACACACAGAGACACGCAGAGACACACAGAGACACAGAGACACAGACACACAGACACAGAGACACAGACACACACACAGACACAAAGACACACAGAGACACACAGAGACACACAGAGACACACAGAGACACACAGAGACACACAGAGACACACATAGACACACAGAGACACAGAGACACAGACACACACACACAGACACACAGACACACAGACACACAGACACACATAGACACACAGAGGCACACAGAGACACACAGAGACACACAAGACACACAGAGACACACAGAGACACACAGAGACACACAGAGACACACAGAGACACGCAGAGACACACAGAGACACACAGAGACACACAGAGACACACAGACACACAGAGACACAGACACAGAGACACACATAGACACACAGAGGCACACAGAGGCACACAGAGACACACAGAGACACACAGAGACACACAGAGACACACAGAGACACACAGAGACACACAGAGACACACAGAGACACACAGAGACACAGAGACACAGACACACAGACACACATAGACACACATAGACACACATAGACACACAGAGACACACAGAGACACACAAGACACACAGAGACACACAGAGACACACGGAGACACACAGAGACACACAGAGACACAGAGACACAAACACACACACACAGACACACAGACACAGAGACACACATAGAGACACAGAGGCACACAGACACAGAGACACACATAGACACACAGAGGCACACAGACACAGAGACACACACATAGACACACAGAGACACACAGACACAGAGACACACAGAGACACACAGAGACACACAGAGACACACACAGACACACAGAGACACACAGAGACACACAGAGACACACAGAGACACACAGAGACACAGACACACACACACAAAGACACACACACACACACACACAAAGACACACAGAGACACACAGAGACGCACAGAGACACAAAGAGACACACAGAGACACACAGAGACACACAAAGACACAGAGACACAGACACACAGACACAGAGACACAGACACACACACACACAGACACAAAGACACACATAGACACACAGAGACACACAGAGACACAGACACACAGACACACACACACACAGAGACACACAGAGACACAGAGACACAGACACACACACACACACAGACACACAGACACAGAGACACACATAGAGACACAGAGGCACACAGACACGGAGACACACATAGACACACACAGAGGCACACAGACACAGAGACACACACACACACACAGACACAAAGACACACATAGACACACAGAGACACACAGAGACACAGACACACAGACACACACACACACACAGAGACACACAGAGACACAGAGACACAGACACACACACACACACACACAGACACACAGACACAGAGACACACATAGAGACACAGAGGCACACAGACACAGAGACACACATAGACACACAGAGGCACACAGACACAGAGACACACAGAGACACACAGAGACACACAGAGACACACAGAGACAGAGACACACAGAGACACAGACACACAGACACAGACACACACACACAGACACAGAGACACACATAGACACACAGAGACACACGGAGACACAGAGACACAGACACACACACACAGACACACACAGAGACACACAGAGACACACAGAGACACACAGAGACACACAGAGACACACAGAGACACACAGAGACACACAGAGACACACAGAGACACACAGAGACACACAGAGACACACAGAGACACACAGAGACCACAGAGACCACACAGACACAGAGACACACAGAGACACACAGAGACACACAGAGACACAGAAACACACAGAGACACACAGAGACACACAGAGACACACAGAGACACACAGAGACACAGAGACACACAGAGACACACAGAGACACAGAAACACACAGAGACACACAGAGACACACAGAGACACACAGAGACACACAGAGACACACAGAGACACAGAGACACAGACACAGAGACACACAGAGACACACAGAGACACACAGAGACACACAGAGAAACAGAGACACACAGAGACACAGACACACAGAGACACACAGAGACACACAGAGACACAGACACACATAGACACACAGAGACACACAGAGACACAGACACACAGACACAGAGACACACAGAGACACACAGAGACACACAGAGACACACAGAGACACACAGAGATGCACAGAGACACACAGACACACAGACACACAGACACAGAGACACACAGACACACATAGACACACAGAGACACAGAGACACACACACACACAGACACAGACACACAGACACACAGACACAGAGACACACAGACACACAGACACACAGACACACAGACACAGAGACACACAGACACACAGACACAGAGACACAGAGACACACACACACACAAGTTAGGAATAGACGCGTCTTTCGTCTTCGGGTTCGTTGCCGGGCGCCCCTGTGCTTTGGCGCCACGAACTCTTCGGCGCGAAACGCCTTCCGCGACCCCCTGCCTCAAGGCCCAGTTTTCAGGCCTCAGCGCCCGCCCATATGACTCAAAGGGGCTCAACCACATCTATCTGTTCCAGATGGAGAAACACACGTGAAAGGCTGCTCACCTCACACTCCTCACCTCCTGCTTCCAACAAAGTTGCCCGCTCGCGGCTTGCTGACGGAGCAACGACGAAATGCTGAACCCTGACTTGCCAGGCAGCAATTCATGAATCCTTACTCTCTATAGTCTTCCAAAACCCTATCGTCCACTTTCATGATTGTTGGACAGAGGGTCAACCTTAGCCATTCCAAATAAGAAAACGGGTCCAAAATTAGCAACTCGCAGGGGGGAGCGCTGTATGTAGTCAGTGGAGTCCATGATTTCAGGCGTGAGCAAATTTCCCGTGCAGAGGCTTCATGGGACTGAACAAATTGAAGGCCCCTTCTGCACTTCGCATGATTGTCTCAGTTGCCCAAGGTTTGAAAAATTGGAAACCAAAAAGGGATAACGTGTCGCTTTGGGCAAGTGAGTTGTTGGAAGAAGGGTAGGTTTCATGTGGAAGGGGGGATGTCCCTGGTTTTAGTGCGTCATCACTTCGGGGATTCCCCCTCCCTCCAGAGCCCCAAAACCCCTTAGCCAAGGTACTGCCCAAGCGCGAGCGACAACATCTCCTCGGGCGGCGTGTCCTGCGATATCAGGCCATCGGCCCGATCGGATGGGCTCGACCCTGTTTGTGGCTGATTAAAACGGGGACCAAAGGCATGACCACGTGTTTGTTGGTCCCATTTTGAGATGCGGATTGAACCTGACGACGGCAGAACTCATTTGCTGGCCATGTGGGGTTCACTGTCTGTAGAGGCATCAAGAAACCCCGGTGTTTCTGGGACAGGAACAACCCAGCTTCGAGGGATATGGAAGCAAGCCTCTGGTCACAGCGGGGGCACATTCTACCAGGCGGTATCTTTTCCACACCTTGGGACTTTGCCTCATGCCACCTGAAAACAACATCAGAGTCAATCCACCCAAAAGGGGCCCAGCAGACGGTGCTTTGACAGCCTTCTCGACCCAGCTGTGCCCCAAGTACAACCAGGGTTTGCTCCATCGGAAAAAACTCCCCCCCCCCTGCTCCAGACTTGTTGCGAAAATCCTCTCAGAAAAACGGGGGGGGGGGGGGGCCTGTGGAAAAGGAGCCCCTTCATCATAGGTCGCAGCCCTGAAACCTTTGTGAGGTCGTTTTGCTCTTTGCCAGTGTGGAAAGCCAAAACCCCGGCCCCAGCCATCGGTGCCCTGAGCCATAACCAAACCCCAATCCAGAAGGATCCGATTTGTGGCCAGGACTGACCCCTGCCAGCCTTCATCCAGGTGGGTCACAATCCAGACCTGGTACTAAAGTGGCTCCCCCAAAACCAAGGCACGGAATCCGCGACGCCGCCCCAGGCTTTTCTTGCGGCTTCAGCGTAAGCGGCGGCCCATCTCCTGCAAGCTGCCGCCCGAGGAGCTCCCATCGTCGGCCTCGCAAGGCGGGTATTCTGCAAGCGACTGGATTGGTGGATTGGTCGGGCGTGGCCTTCCAAGAGAGCAAGGCGTGGAGAACGCCCAAGGCTGCAACGTCCCCAAGCTTTTGGAAAACCGTACGTAGGGTTCTCACTCTGGCGCAAGGGGAGTTTGTAAGTAGGGCGGAGGCGGTTCCCCCCACCCCCTCGCCCCCTTGAAAGCCAACGGAATGGGGGTCCACGCAAATTTGTTCGAGGGCCGCCCGTTCTAATAAAAGCCACGCCTTCCGCGACATGAAGGCCGTGGAACCTCGAGGCTCCTGACCATGGAGCCAAGAAGGAAATCAACAACAAATCTAGGGGTACCTTCCTCATTCTTTCCAGGGATCCTGCTTTTCATGAAACCATCCAAAAAAAAAAAAAAAACAGGGGAAACAGCCGGTTTTTGAAAAGAACGATGGTTGAAAAGAATGGGGAATCAAGCCCTAGAACAAACCAGACCCTCCCACATTGTGGGTTCCGCCCTTCAAAACCCTCAAAAAAGTGGTGCCCTCAAAGAAAGACACACCCATACTTCCAGCGCACATTTTGGGGAAAGCCCGCTTGGCCACTTGGACTTGACACGTCATAGGCAGAACCACAAGAGGTTGCGCACCCCAAGCTGGAAGTGGCCCAAACAACCCACGCCTATCCACGCCTGCACATATCCCGAACCTTGCGGCCTTTGATCTTTTCAAGACCGGTTTTTGGGCCCGAACGGTGAAGAAAAGGTCTCACGGCCCAAGACCTGCCAGCCCAAACCCCACTTGAAGAAGCACCTTTTGGGATTGCTGTCAGAGGCGTACAATCCACTGGCTGGGGGGCAGTGTGTGTTCCACCAATCCTTGCTTGCTTGCTTGCTCGCTCGCTCGCTCGCTTGTTTGTCCGTCGGCAACGACTTGCTTACAGCAATGTCAAGCTCGGGTCAATCAGGACAGTGTGCTGATTTATCCACATCAATCCCCTACTCCAACCAGTCAAGCTAGAAACAGACATCCAGGCTGTCATTTCAAGATTCATGCATGCCCTGCCTAAAAACGTCGCAGCTCACCCGCAAAAGAATTCCAAAGGTCACCCTGGCAGGGGCAAACCAACCAGTTCAAAGGAAACAGGTCGGTCGCTGTCCAGGGTGTGTTACAGCCCACTTTCTGGCGAACCCAAATTGAGCGCAAGCTGCATGTGCGTGTGTGTGCAGCCCCGCCACCCTGTTCCAAGTCATGATGCGGATCTCTGACTCAAAGATACCTTGAAAAAAATCACGGCCTCCCCAATAAGGAAGCCCATCTCGAACGAAATTGTCTCAGAACCAGCATGCCGACTCGCTGACTCGTGATCCGAGGCCCCGCGCGAACGGCACTTCGGTCACCGGATCTGGCATGGGGATCCGGGGATCCACGGGGGGGTGGTGGGGGGGGGGGGGGGGGGGGCAGGGGGCAGGGTGGGGGCAGGGTGGGGGCAGGGTGAAAAACGGAAACTCACTTCCTGAGTGGACGGGCCCAACGTTTTCTGTTCAAAACCGACACGCATCGGCCGTTCTTCAGACCCCAACGCAAAAACGCAAGCAACCTGAGAAGGCTCCACGCCTAAAAAGGCTCCCCCCTGCGCCTTTGTCAGCCGAGGGTTGCGCAAAGCGGAGGATGACCCCAGGTGGCAGATGATTTGGCATCCTGCACGCGGAAGTATCAAAGGGCGCGGCCGCTGTTCACTGGGAGAACATCGGCGATTTTCTGAGAAACAGGAAAAATGGGAAAGGTGAATATGTGGAAAGAGCCCGGAAATGTCAGCCTGGCAATCCCCGCGCAATCGGCGAGCGAATTCAAGGCGGCATTTTTTTACTCCTGGCGCTGCGTTTGCCGTGCCAGGTTTGGCCCTGCCCCTCATTCCTCGGGCGCATCTGCCAGAAATGGCTGGTTCAGCACATCCTGTCGTCCCCCGACTCCGGACCCTGCCTTTGATCATGTCAGGCCAGTTTTGAAGACAAGAGGAGTCCTAACGCCCATGAACCAAAGAAAACACCTCAAGCTAGGCCACATGCCTGCTCTGGCATTCTCAGAATTCTCCAAGCCAAAGTGTGGTTGCGCCAACTTGGAAGCCAATCGAAACCGTGGATTTTGGGGTCCTTGAGGTGCGCCCGACCGTCCCCCAAACTCAAAGTTGACTATGCATCATTCCCAATTCGACATTTGTCTGCACCGGCGGAATTGCTTGGGGTCTTATTTGCCAGCACATGCCAGGGCCCTGTGGCAAGGCCAGTGGGACTGGGCTAAAGGAAAAAGTCAGCACCTCGGATGCCAAAAAGTAGGCAAGAACAGCCACCAGAAATAGGTGGAACTCCCTGTGCTGGTCAGGTTTCACCACCCCACCCACCACTCCCCTCCCGCAACCCTTCCCCCTTTTTCCAAGCCCCTCCACTCCACCCCACCCCACCACATCCCAATTCAACAACTCCCCCCACCCCACCCCACCCCACCCCACACCACACCACACCACACCACCCACCCCACCCACCCCACCCACCCCTACCCGCCCCTACCCCTCCGCCATGGCAACCCTTCGCCTCGAGGATGTGTCGGTCGAAGCCTCTGGGGCTGGCCGCCTGGTCCCCCCATCGCCCCCGCTTCTCCAGCACGTGTTGCTGGCAGAGCTTCACCGTCTGCGAGGAGTACCTCCAAACGGAGCCGTGGGTGTGTCTTTTCTTCAGGGCCCCACCCCCCAACAAAAAGAAAGAAAGGAAAGCCTGAAAATCAAAGCGGAGCCAGCACCAACTGCCCGTCGATGTTCACTGCGGATATGTGAATTTCCCCACCTCAAGAAATGTCGCGCTTAGTGAACCCGAGGTCTGGCTCATAAACTGAGCCTTAGAACTTAGAAACAGGCTTTGGTGATCAAAACAATCTGAGATAAGCATCAGCTCACCTCGGGGAATGTGGGGAGGGGGGGTTGTGCCATGGAGACGTGTCTATGTTAAAACTCAAGCCGACACCAATATTCCAAAGAAGGGCAAGGAAGCAATGTGGCTCTTGTTCTTTCAGGGCGACCTCCAAGGTTGTGATTTACCTTTTGGTGTCCCTTCACAGCCAAAAGAATACCTGGGGCCCTGAGGGGCACTTCAGGTCCTCGTGCTTCCGGCCCGTCCAGGACGCCTCCCGGGCAAACTTCAGCGCCTGACACCGCTTTGAGAGTGGAGCTGAATTGTTTAAGGGCAAACCGACTAAGACCCCTTTTTGTGTTTCTTTCAAAAAAACTTGCGAACATGAACCCCCTTTCAGGGACCAAAATTGTAAATGAAGGATGTTGCCGAATACGCAAGCTTCCGGGCACAGGTTGCATAGTGAAGCCCGTGGTCTCCGACTATTTGAGCCACAGGCTCATTTCCTGCACCCGGACCCAACAACCTGCTACAATAGAACCCTGAAATTACATCCCCACCATTCAAGGAGGGACGTCTGAAAAGGCAACTTGCCAATGTAAGGCTACATGGTTTGCAGACCTGGCGAATGCAAGCTTGCATGTTGCACCACATCTGCCTCACCGGCATGATCAGCTACACTTTGTTTCAAGAGAATGCACCACATCTGCCCTACCAGCATCGCAAGCTTACATCTAACGCTTAAGCAGTGGTCAGCTCTGCATCAGCCCTACATCACCTCCGGAAGGGAAGAACGGAAACACGCATCCGTGGTGGTGTCCGCTCACGTGTGTTTTTTTTTGCGGGGGGGGGGGGGTACAAATTATATCCCCCCTTTTTCCGACCCTGAGGGGGCGGAATGACACAGGAAGGAGCTGCAGCCTCGTTTGTTCAGGCAAGACGAACCGTTCCGCGACAGGCGCAAAACGCAAAGAGACATTTTCCGCAAAACAGGGATTCCTCCGCCACATGTTGTCTAAAAGTGTCATGATTGCAGGGCGCCGGGGCGCCGCAACAACTGCAAGGGTGTACGCATGATAGCCCAAACTGCATTGTAGTCAAAGGGAGGCAATGGTTCCCCAACTTGCGGGTGTGTAACATCATTCCTTGGATGGGAGTCGCGGAAAAGGCTGTGCGCCTAGCTCAGCAGCTCGCACAACACGGTCTGACCAGGCCCTTTCAAGGGGCGGGGGGCCTGCAGCAGCTGCTCTGAGCGGGCAAGAATTGAAGAAAGACATCAGAACCAGGTCCCTGCGAACCTCAAACCAAGCAGGTGCTTGACTCGCGTGCGGGAGAAAAAGGGCGCGTGAGGCACGAAACGCTTGTGATCGGTTGTGAAGAATTAAGATGGAGGCAGAGTCCCTAGAGGAAAAAACGGTTTCCTTCTCACTATCATATCTACACGCAGGGTCGCGCAAATTTCCACACCTGCCGTGTTCTCAATTTCTCGTAGATCTGGCTCTGCAAGATCTCGCGCTTCGACTAAGACGGAGGCTCTGCCCCAGCCTCCACAAGGACCGGCTCTGCGTGATAAAGAAGCATCTTGTCGGCGCCTCGCTGCGCGGTCAGCGAGTGGGAGGGAAGGATGGCTATCTCTTTTCCATCACTTCCCCCTGCTTCATCTCTTTTTTTTTATCATGCCTCGCTTCATAGCGGAGAGGCATGAGAGAGTGAAATCGTGTGTCATCTCTTTCTATCTCTTGACCCACCTTCCATCTCTTTCTTGTCCTTTGTCTATCCCATTCACTGCAGAGTAAGGGATGGGCCAGCTCTTAGTCGAGCAGCCAGTGGCGCGGCCGCTTGCGACCCGTTTCGCGAGCCAATGCCGAACCAAGCACTGAACGAGCTAGGGAAGCCACTGGCCACCACCAGGCCAAATTCAGAGTCCCACACAGCGCCGGCCAGGTCACAGAAGAGCACAGATCGGATTGGGCAAGGGTGACTTGAAGCCATCTCACAGGAAAAACTCCGCCCGCTCTGCAGCCAAAGCATCGGCGAGAACACCAAAGCGGCCGTAAACTTGTACGCTTTCAGGCCGCCATCTTCCGACGAAACCGCCGACTCGTGCAAACAGCCTCGCTTGGACTTGGACTTGCAGGCGAATGAAAACAATGGTCATCTGCCTTCCCCAGTTCCCAGCGACGCCGCGCTTAGACCGCATGTGGACCGTCGCTAACCAGCGACGGCATGTGAACCGTCGCTAACCAGCAAAGGCGATGGCGCGTAGGGTGCCATGCAGTATGGGTGAAGTTCAGCCACACGCGGCGGGCGCCTCGCGAGGCGCCAAATGATCAAATGGGCTGGCCAAAAGGCCGCTACAGGCTCGCTACTCGCAAGCCTGAGAGACCGGGCCCAAGCAAAGATATGTAGCGAGCGTTGCCATCCCCACCCCCCACGCATCACCCCCCAACCCGGCTGAACAAGCAAGGGGTTCGAAAAGCCTGCGAATCGCACACCCGCGCCTTAAACATCAGCTCGGGCGAGGGGTTCCACAGGCCCTGCAGGGACCGCCGCTCCGTCCAGACCCGCGGGCCACCGTGCCGGAGGTACAGGTTGGGGGACTCCGAGTTCCGCTGAAGATTCATCAGCTCCTGTCTAGAAACCCGAGATCTGAACAAATTGCACATACGCAACTCGATCAGATTCAAGCGTTCACGTTGCCCTCCTGATTCACAGGGAGCCCAAGGGAGCCATCCTATTTGGAAGAACCCCTTGTGGCCGACTGATGCTCAAGTGAATCTGCATTTGCCTTTTTTTTTCGGACCTCGTCGAACAAGACACGCTATGAAAGGAGTGGCAAAGGACGTCCGGCACGAGGTCATCCCCAAAGTTCGTCCAAGGTTCAAGTTCTTCGGGGCTGGGTGTTAAACGGCCCACCAATTGTCATGGCTCACCAACAAAAAGTCCCGTGAATTGTTTTGACACACGCTTCGAGTGGAAAACCAGCACGACGGAAAAACGACACCAACCCATAGCAGGGCATAAGGTTGACAGGGGGGTCCAAGCGTTTTTTTTTCCCAGACCATATGCCAGGGTCCTGTCTCACCCAACCCTCACACGCACACACATACGCGCGCATAGCACACAAAGACACAGACACAGACGCAGACACAGACACAGACACAGACACACACGCAGACACACACGCAGACACAGACACAGAGACACACAGCCACAGAGACACAGAGACAGAGACACACAGACACAGAGACACACAGACACAGAGACACACAGACACAGACACAGAGACACAGAGACACAGAGACACAGAGGCACAGAGACACAGAGACACAGAGACACAGAGACACAGACACACAGAGACACAGAGACACAGAGACACAGACACACAGACACAACGACGTATACACACACAAAAAACACACAAACAGACACAGCCGGACACAGACACAGAGACACAGAGACACAGAGACACAGAGACACAGAGACACAGAGACACAGAGACACACAGACACACAGACACACAGACACAGAGATACAGAGACACAGAGGCACAGAGACACAGAGACACAGAGACACAGAGACACAGAGACACAGACACACAGACACACAGACACACAGACACACACCCACACAAAAAACACACAAACAAACACAGCCGGACACAGACACAGACACAAACACAGACACGCAAACACCGACCTTAGACACAAAAACAAACGCAAACTCGCACCCCCGCGCACACACACACACACACACACACACACCGCAGGTGCACATGCCCAATTCCAAGAAAAGACCAGCAAAGCCGCCCTTTTTGTGGACAATGGGCCGCTTTCCTGGATCTGCTGGATGTTGATTACGCTTAGCCCACTTCACCACCAAAAGGAAGCTACGCAAACATGCAGCCACACAAAGCTCGGGCCCTGGCTTTCAACCTGCCCAACGGAGGCTGACCCTTGCGAGGCTCCTCGATCTGTCGCGGCCGCAGCCGCCGAAGGGAGATCTCGAAGCGCTCCCCGCTGGCCCATTCCGCCTCGAAACCGCGAAGGCGCGCGCGCGCGCTTCAGGCAGTGCAAGGATCTGCGCTGATTCTACCCAGGGTTGTGGGATCACTCGGGGTTTCTCCAAGCACTTCTGTAATACTTTTGGGAATTGGGGGGGCTAGTCTTTGGGAAGCCCTTCCTGTTGTGTCACAGAAGTGGTCATTTCCCACAGCCCTGATTCTAACTCACCTGAAAACAAGGAATCCTGCGTGCACACATGTATGATTTTCTGGGAATCTGCTGTGGGCTTGTCGGCTGGCATCCACGAATGATGGGTTCTTTACCAATGGTCAACCGAACAAAGACTACACATTTTGCCTTGTCAAAGATGAGCCGGAAGTACAAATCCTGTATACCACTTGCACCGATGTCGAAGCAAATTTGACATCCATATCCCCAGCAGAACCTATTCTTGCAAAGGCTGGAGGCTATTGTATCATTGTAGGTACCCATGGGAAACCACGCTTATAGGACGCACACGTGTCTGTGGGATTGTCGCCGTGCGTTGCGTCTTCAGGCCCATGTGTTGTGTGGTCCTCGCCTATACCATACACTCCAATGTGCCACCCCTGAAAAAAGGTGGTCGCTCTGATCCACATCTATAAATTGAATACACATATATCCACAGTGTTTATGTCTATAACATCTACGGACCCTTCTTCAGGGGAAAGAAAATAACGTTGCTGCCAACTCGAAATGGCGCTTTTGGCCGCCACAAAAGGCGGGCCAAAAATTGGAATGAGAGCGCTCTTCAACCAGCAACAAGTTCCCAGGAAAGCATGGGAATTGATTTGAGCGGCCTGGCCTGCTTGTAGGCCAATGCGAGCACTTGATGGCTACTCCCCGTGATCAAAAGGAAACGCCTTCCCCAACGCCAACGACAAGAGCAAAGATTCGAAGGTCGACAGTTCGCATGAAAGAGGCCCGAGACAAAATGTCCAAGAAAAACAGGCCGAAGCAAAAGCTGCTGGCAGCGATCTGTTGATCTTTAGCTAAATGGAAGCGCGTGGATGAGTACAACTCCGAAATGTTCCGACTCCTTTCAGAGACCATCAGGACCAATACAGGTGTGCCGCCAGACCGACGCAACCAAGCAGTCCGCGAACTGACTTTGCATTTTGCTTGCCGCTTCTTGCCGCACGTATCAACCCTATGAACGAATCGCACTTTGGCCCCTGCAACAGCCAAGAAGGGGACAACGCCATGCCCGTCATTTCTTTCCCAGCCTTGAGCTCTGGATGATCCAGCTGAGAGTGTTCGGTCACCACCACCACCTGGGGGTTCCGCTCCTGGCCATCGGCCAATGGCGCGAGGCCACCACAAAAGCCCAACAGCCCGGCCTGGGTTGAGTCAGGGGGTTGGTTGAAACCTTCCGGGGTAGCTCAAGATGGGCTAAGAGTTGGGTTGGATGTGCAGGGCTGGGGTTCCTAGGCACGGCAAGGGGAGATTGAGGGAAGTTGCCCTTTGATCAGTCGGGTCACCACCCCCTTGTCGGGGAAGAAAGCCCTGGCTCGGGGTGAGCTTGGGACAAGGGACACAGATGGGCGCGTGCATTCGCACGGAATGCAGCTATTTGGCCACGTCTGGCTGCGGTCAAGTGCAGAAAAGCATAAAGTGTAGCTGGGCTCATTTTTCTGGTTGGTTTTAAAGGGACATATGAAGGAAACCGACAATTTTGAGGCTTCCCTCACTTAGAGACACGCCTATTTGGGTCAGTATAACATTGGTTTGCCAATGGTCTTTGGCTTGCTGAGTGTGTTTCGGCTGGAAGGAGTCTGGATTTGGGGAGGCTGTTGCTTGAAGTCACTGGTTGGCTCATTTGAAGAGAAAGTCAGTTTGGGATTGCTTTAGAGGACGTTTAAAATGCTATAAAAACTATCTTTCATCTAATATTGACCTGAGCGTGATTAACGGCTATGTTTGAGTGCGTTTGCCTTGGGTTTAGGTTGAGGGGTGGGTCTACTGCCGATTTTATTCATATATTTTCGTGCGCTTCAGGAGCAAGAAAAAAGAAACACTATTTGAACCTCGCCTTGAAAAGCAAGTGACAACGGGAAACCGAGGTCAAAGCCGGACCGGGCAAAATGAAGGAATCGCGCAACCAGTTTAGCCAAGCAAAGGAAAACCCAAAAAGCGTAAGCCGGAAAGAGCCGGAAAACCCAACCAACAGAATAAACCCAAATGCAAAACCCAGAAAGCCGCGGATTCTCTCAACGCGACAACTCCAAACTGGAAGTCCGGAGGACCAAACCGAGACAATCAAACAACAAAAGCAATCTAACAACAGAAAAGCTCTCCCAAAAGCGGCCAAAAAAGCGGGTTGGTCCTTCCACAAAGGCAGCAGGTGATGGAGGTAGAAGCGCACCCCGAGACTGCTGCCGGCGGTCTCGCTGTAGCGGATGATCAGACGCCGAAGCTGCCACTCTCCCGTCGCCGCATTCATCGGCGCTTTCAGCGGCGCCGCGCGGCTTCTTACGAGGTTCGCAGGGGCTGGTTGCCGGGTTTTGGGGTGGCCGAAGAATCTCCTGGAAAAGTGTGGACATGAGTGATTTGTTCGCGACTGTGGCTGGGATGGTGAAGGAATGGGGCATGGGCACGTGGCAAATCTGCAGGTCAGCTTGAGTCGGCACGCCACGCCGGTCTTGCCAATGTCAGTGCGCTCTTTGCCAAACAGGATCGCAGGACGGGGCTTGAACATGCATGACACAAGGGGGCTGATCACGTCTCATGTGGGGCAAGCCCGGTGGCCCACAAGCATGACACGAAAAACACTTCGCCCCAAGAAATCCGCAACACCCTTGGCTGCTCTGACAAGCGGCTTCATTGCTTCGCCGCCTTTCAAGAAACAAAGGGCATTGGAAACTGCAGACTAGTAAAGTCGACTACTACATTTGCAAGAGGGCAGGGCTTTCTGGAAACCAGGCGTCGCTAAACTTCGAAAGTCACAACTCACAAAAGAAACTTCCACTTTGCAATGGGATGAGGTGTGGGTGTGCGCTTTTTGAGCGCACCTTGGTTGAGTTGATGTCGAAGCCGAAAGGAAAACCGCAATTTGTAGGGTCCCCCCCCCCTCCCCCCACCGAAACACACACGCACCAGACAAAATGAGGGGGCCGCCGTACGGTGCGAAGCTATGCAGTCCTTCCCTTGTAGCTAACGCTTGATGAGCTCGAG